GTATGCTGCACCCCTCAGAATCAGTATTACCTGGCAGAAAAGCACCTGTTCAGCACCATCCCAGAGCTCATCACGTACCATCAGCACAACTCTGCCGGTGAGTGCTCACGGGTGCAGGCAGAGCTTGCAGCCACAGCCTGAACCTAATGCCCCTCCACATAGGTGGAGTACAGTCACCATCTCCCTGCTCTGGCACAGCCCAGTGGCAGCTTTAGCAGAGCAAAACAGCCTGGAAAACACACCTCTGCTCTGCATGGCTGAATCCCCAGGAACTTCACACCCCCCTTCCCCTGAATTCCATCCATCAAACACCCCTCTACCCTCACCCCACATCTTTCAGTAATGCTTTGTTCTCCCATCCACAGCCCTCACTGGGCTGTAAAGAAACATTGTTCTCTTTTACTGATGCAATTTCAATCGATCCTGTTCTGGACAAAAGTAAAACGAACCTGTCCCTCTTAACCTACCCAGCAGTGTGGGTTTGCAGATGATAAAGCATCTCTCAAACAGAGAATGGAGACAGGAGGATGCAGCCCAAGAAAAGCTGGAACAAGAATGTTCCAAGCAAGGACAAGCTGTGACAGGCTCAAAGAAAGTACAGGGACAGAGTGAGGCCACCAGGTTTTACTGACTTCACAGCGTCCTCCTTTTCTTGGGCTGAAGGCAGGAGGCCTGTATTCCCTGCTGAAACATCGTGGTGTGGCAGTGCAGCTTTCTGTGTTTCAGGGCTCATATCCAGACTGAAGTATCCTGTATCTCGACACCAGAAAAGTGCCCCTTCCACAGCTGGCCTGGGCTATGGTAAGCTGTCTCAGGCTTCCTTAAGTTTCCCTGGCTGCAGGGCCTGAAGGGTGCTTAGGTGCTCTGTCTGCAGGAACTCCTTGGGGCTGAGCTCCTGGTCGTTTCCCCACAGCAGGGCCCACATTGTTCCCTGGAATCCCTTCCTAATACTCCCTGGCTCTATGGGACAATACCAACCAAGAGACTTGCTATTCTATCCCCTGGATGAAAAGGTCTTGGGCTTCATGATTTTTCTGTGATGGTTTTTCAGGCATGCTTCTGGTCTTTCAGCACATTCTTTCAGGCAGCACGTGCTTATGAGCTCTTCTTGGACCAGCTAGACCAGATGACTGGGAGAAGCCTGCAGGAAGGGCACCTGCACCCTCATCACACTCACACTCTCTGTCCTAGGGTCGTGGGAGATTGACCCAAAGGATCTGACCTTCCTGAAGGAACTGGGGACAGGGCAGTTTGGCGTGGTGAAGTATGGGAAATGGAGAGGCCAATACAACGTTGCCATCAAGATGATCAGGGAGGGCTCCATGTCAGAAGATGAGTTTATCGATGAAGCCAAAGTCATGATGTAAGTGGTGAGCAGCCCCCAGGTCAGTGCAGCATGTATCTTGTCAGAATACCTGCACTCCCAGATGGTTTGGAGGGACAGCATCAGGAGGCTTCATGCACTGCAGAATGAATCTGCACTTCGAGAGCCTGTACTCTTTCTGCTGGTTTTGGCAGTGAGCATTCCAGGAGCACTCTTCCCTGCCCAATTCTCCTTCTTCTTATTCAGCAATGCTTCTTTTGCAGCTTGTCCTTACAGATGCTCAGAAATGCCCTTCTTGCCCCCAACACAGGAACCTGTCTCACGAGAAGCTGGTGCAGCTCTATGGGGTCTGCACAAAGCAGCGTCCCATCTTCATCATCACTGAGTACATGGCCAACGGCTGTCTACTGAACTTCCTGAGGGAAACTCAGCGGCGATTCCAGCCTGCTGAGCTGCTGGAAATGTGCAAAGATGTCTGTGAAGCTATGGAGTATCTGGAATCCAAGCAGTTTCTGCACCGAGACCTGGTAGGCATGCGGCCAAAGGACACCTCTCCAGCTCAGTTGTAGCTGCAGGATGTCCTCGACAGGGTCCAGCTAATTCAGTGGTGTGAAGAGAGGAATCTACAGCCTCAGATTATCCCTGCAAGCTTCCCTGCCCACCTGAGCACAGACAGGGTGCCCACTATGGCATGTCTGAAGTCACTGCTGTGCAGTGGGTTAACAGAAAGGGAAGGACTAGGCAGCTTTCTGGGGACAGGAATGCATTTTTGGCTAGAGCAGAGCTTTGCATCAGACAACACAAGCAGCATTCATTAGCTCAGGCATGGAGCTTTAATGCCCATGTAAAGCTGAGCCTGTGGTTTTTCAGGCCTCTGGCTGGCATTGCCAGCATGCGGTCCTGCTGTGTGCCATATCTGATCTCCTCCTCATGCTGCTTTGTCAAGGCAAAATCACACCAGGGAAATTGTCCCTTCATGGATAAATTGGAGGCCTAGAGGGTCCTGCCTTGTCAGACAAAATGGGGCAAAGCATTAGATGGATGGGGATGAGGCAAAGTTGCAGATGGTACAGAGAGATGAGAGAAGCAGGAGCAGGTGGGAAGGACAGCCTCCATCTCTCCATCCACAGGCTGCTCGCAACTGTTTGGTGAACGACCAAGGGATTGTGAAAGTCTCGGATTTTGGCCTTTCCAGGTCTGGTAATACATCTGAGTCACTTTCCTGTCTCGATTTCCTATTGCCTTTGTCAGTTTCTTCTGCACTTTTGTCCATCTCTCCCACAGTTCTCCAGCTCGGCTTTTCCTCTGCCTTCTCCTGTCTTTCATCTGTCTGGCTCAACCTCCTTCACCCTTCCATCATCCCTTTCCTACATCCTTCATCTCCATTGTCCTGTCTTCTTGCTGCTTCTTCCTCCATCTCCAGGCTCCTGGCTGCAGCCTTCTTTCCACAGGCCATTTTTGCTATGTCACCCTCACTCATTCCCAGTCTCAACTAACATAATCTTGTCTCCAAAGGGACATTTTTGCCTTTTGAAACCCATGCAGAGTGCAAACTCTGATCACTCTGAAAGCTCTAAATTCCTTTCGGGCTTTGTTGGTTGCATGGATGAGTGAGAAGTGAAATGGATGACAGGTGCCCTGATCTGTTGGTGTGCTGCAGATACGTTCTGGATGATGAGTACACAAGCTCCATGGGGTCAAAGTTTCCAGTTCGGTGGTCTCCTCCTGAAGTTCTCCTGTACAGCAAGTTCAGCAGCAAATCCGACGTGTGGTCGTTTGGTAAGAGCACGGGGTTAATGACTCAGGGGGGGCAGGAGGAGGCCCAGCAGCAGTGAGCAGCCTGCTGCACACGGACACTACCACGTGTCCCCGCCGTTTCCCACCACAGGCGTGCTGATGTGGGAGGTTTACTCTCTGGGAAAGATGCCTTACGAGAGGTTTAACAACAACGAGACCACAGAGCACGTCATCCAAGGCCTGCGCCTCTACAGGCCTCAGCAGGCTTCAGAGCGGGTCTACGCCATCATGTACAGCTGCTGGCACGAGGTACGTGCGCACTGCGGGTCCGGCAGAGGGCACGGCGCGGTGCGGGCGCCCACAGCCCTTCCTCTCGCCCCGCAGAAGGCCGAGGAGCGCCCCACCTTCACCGCGCTGCTGGGCAGCATCGTGGACATCACCGACGAAGAGCCGTGAGCACCCCCCGCCGCCCTCCCTTCCCGGTGCCGGTGGCTGGAACTAACGGGCCGGGGAAACGGGACGGCACCTGGGCAGCCGCTGTGCGCACAGCGCGGGCTGAGGAGCCCCACAGAACCCCTCAATAAACCCCTCCTAACGGCTCCGGGCCTGCCGACGCTGAGCATGCGCAGCGCGGGCGGAAGTAAGGGGAGGGCGGGCGGAAGTAAGGGGGCGGGCGTACGCATGCGCGGTCGCAGTGCGGCGCGGCACGTGAAGGTCGTGGCGGCGGCGGCATGGAGGCGCCGTCCGGCGGCGGGCTGGGGGGAGCCGACCCGCAGCTCCAGCGCTTCATCGAGGTGGAGACTCAGAAACAGCGGTTCCAGCAGCTGGTGCACCAGATGACCGAGCTCTGCTGGGTACGGCGAGAGCTGGGAGGGCGGGAGGGCGCAGCGGCTCCGGTTAACCTAAGGAGGCGGTGGGGTGGGGTGGGCCGGGCTTCATCCTGTGGGGAGGAGGGGGATGGGGGCACGGCGAAAGCCCTCTACCTCTGGGTTTGGGATTCGAGGAGAGCTCCAGGGGCTGTTCCGGGGAGGGGAGGCTGAGGTGGAAGAGCGGGAGTTTGAAGGGGGGAATAGTGGGCGCAGTGCTGCACCCCCGGATCCAAAGCAGCCACTGCTCCACAGGAGAAGTGCATGGACAAGCCCGGGCCGAAGCTGGACAGCCGGGCTGAGACGTGCTTCGTGAACTGCGTGGAGCGTTTCATCGACACCAGTCAGTTCATCCTGAACCGGCTGGAACAGACGCAGAAATCCAAATCGGCCTTCTCGGAGAGCCTGTCCGACTGAGCGGCCCCAAAAACGGGGGGTGGGACGGCCCTGCTGCACCCTGCGCCCGTCCCTCTGCTGCCCCGACAAGCCGAGGTCCAGGGCGTAGGGTTTAATTAAATGACGGTTTGGTGAAAGCTGCAGCCAGCCAGATGAGAGCCCGTAACAGATCCACCCGCTCTTCAGCGCGGTGTTGTGCTGCGCCCATCCCCAATCACAGGAAGCATCTTCACACTGGGACATAGGGGCTGCAGGTGTCATGCATGAGGTGGTGGCGGTGGGGTTGCTCCCAGCACTAAGCATGCCACTGCTGCCTTAAAACAGTGCTGCACACACCTCCATTGCACAAAACCAACCCGCTGCGCAGTCCCCATGGCTGTGCAGAAGGAGAGCAGCAGGACTGCACCAGCACAGGCACCCCTAACGAGGAGAGCTGCTGGGCATGGTGAACATCCCTGGCAGTGTCACTGCTGGAAGACATTTCAAGGCTTCCCCAAAGTCATTCATGTGGCCAAGTGACAAACTTTCAAATTGCAGCACGGCTCTCTCGATACTGACTTGCTCCATTCATTGCTTTCTCTCAGTCAATGTAATAAATATTAAGTGGGTGAAATTTTTAACACGAAATTCTCCTTTGTTCAGGTAGATGATCACTGAAAAATGGAAATATGGCATTCTTGTAATTCCTTCTCCTTCACGGTGATTTTATTTATTTGCAAAATTAGAAGAGAGGGGGAATAATTGTGCTCTGGGTAGGCAACCTGCTGTGAATTCTGATTTGTTGCTCAACATATTTGGTCCTATGAATCAAAGCTCACATTTGTGGCCTTTCCCCTTCCTCCCTTAAGGGTTAACAGAACTTGCTTCCTTGTATAGTTTTTACAGAGAGCCCAAGCACACGAAAAATATAGGCAGCTGCTTTGTAACTACCTGCACCTTTATTTGTGGGGATTACTGGAGGGCAGCCTGCGGCTGTGTCTTCTGGACTTTTGCCCCTAGGAAATTACACAGAGCTTCTAACTGGAAAAACAACCAGCACCTATTAACTCACCTTCTGAAACGCAGTGTTTCAGCGCTGTTTGCAGACAGCCTGGCTGTGGGAAACACAGAGTGACCCACGTAACTAACATGTGGCTTGGAGCTCTCACAGAGAAACCTCACAAAGTGGTTCTGTGCATGACAGTTTGCCATGGGTGGCTGGATGGGGTGTGTGCAGCATCTAACGGGTGTCTTGTAGCCAGCAGCCTTCCTAGGAGTGATTCAGAATGAGTTAAATAGAGCTATGCATATACTAACCTGCAAGGATACAGCTATCTGCCCATCTTTCCAAAGCTTACCTCAATAGCTAAAGACTGTTAGGTCCCTCCTGTCCCCACTGTGAACCATTCTCCCTTCCATCTCTGCCCTGAGTTTCTCTCAGGCACCCGCATCATTCCTCCTACCCCTGCAGTCCTTCATGCCCCTCTGTGCTGGCCCAGCTCCTGGTACAAACGCATCTCCAGCTTCCTGGTAACTGAACACTGCTGGCTTTAATGCTGTATGCAGGTGCATCATCAGCCTGCACAACAGATGCTGCATGATCCCCTCTGTAAGAGCCAGAACATCACAGGGCAGCACCACTGAAGTTCTCCAGTCTTGGCTGTATTCTTATCTTGGATGTGAACCTGTAAATAAATTCTAACAGTGAGCCGAACCAGCAGTTTACAGAAGAATTTTTGAAGTACCACTCTGGGTATGTCATCCTTAAGGGCAGGCACTTGTCTTCTATCCACATCATATCAGCACCACATTAGAAGATTAACAGGGACAAAATAATCTAAGTATTCTTAAAAAAAAATGCTCAGAGGCTTCCCCAGCCTTTGTCTTCAGTAAGGGTTATTAGCACCGTGTTAGTGCTGCAGGCCTCTGTGCAACCAAGCAGATCCTGGCAAGGGCAGATCAATCCCTCACGAAAGCTGGAGAGGCACTGGGTCCTGGCAGCAGGGAAGTTCTCAGCACTCGTGTCTGTAACAATGAAGGATGTTACAGGAAGGATGCAGCCCCTGCCAGCTCCCAGACAGTGTGAGGTCACACTGATCACACACCCAAGGCAGGCAGAAAGCAACTGCTAGCTCTGCACACACCAAAGTACCTAGCAGCATCCAATGCAGCACGTTCAACCTTGCACCTTGTGGAGCTGCTCGCTGGCTGGAGCTGACAGCACTTCAGAAGCTCCCTCATACACTTTCACCTTCCTCCTCTTCTGTGCTCTGAGAGCTTTTGTCCTCGGAGGGCAGAAGAGGCTGGTGCTGACACGACTGATGTCTGTCCATGCCCCTCCATGCCGTGCGCAGGTCTGCCCTGCCTTGCTGCAGGAAGAGGGGCAGGAGGTCTGGGCTGAAGGGCACGTCCCTGAAGGCGTGAAGGAGGAAGATGCCGGACACGATGGTGAGGAAGCCGCTGATGGTGCCAATGATGTTGTCTAGCACCATGTGTTGCCACTCCTTGAAGAGGATGGCAGAACATGTCATGACTGAGGTGGTGAACAGCACATAGTAAATGGGAGTGACCACGGATGTGTTGAAGATATCCAGGGCTTTGTTCAGGTAGTTGATCTGCACGCTGATGCAGATCACCAGGCACACCAGAAGCACCCAGCCCAGCGGTTCTTTCAGGATTGGCTTCCCAGCAAACAGTTCTTTCAGGGCAATCCCCAAGCCTTTGACACACGATACAGAAAGTGAGCCGATGGCAGAGCAGACCAAAACATAAACCAAGACGTTGCTCCGTCCGTAACGGGGTCCAGCCACAAAGATGAGCAGGAGGGAGCTCACCAGGACGCACACAGCAAACACAATGAATCCTTGGAGAAAGAATAATTAAAGGCTCTATCAGAATGGAGAACAGTAGTCCCAGTGACAGAACAGCAAGCAGGGCAGTGGCACATCCAGAACCTAGGGCATTACTAGCTGCTGGGGGCATGCTGACCAAGAAGGGGGGGGCACAGCCCTACAGGAGCACCATGCAGGAGGGCAGCAGAAAGCTAAATGCTGCAGGGTGTGGTGGGAAAGAGAGTCCCCATCGGTCTAGTCAAGCTGTTCCCTCCCCAGTACTGTTATTTCCAAGTCTGAAATTGACATGATGCCTTCCATTTAGCTACCTGGATCTTTCAGCTTCTCTGCCATCGACTCCAGGCTGGAAACCTCTTCTTCCTGAGGAGCGTGGATTACCATCACTGTGGAGCCCAGGATGCTTAGGACACAGCCAATCTTGCCATGAACATTCAGCTGCTCATTCAGGAAGGTGGAAGACAGAACCGCACTGGAAAATCAAATCAAAACAACAACAACAAACAAAACAAGAAAGGCCTAGCAGTTAGGAATGGAATATCTGAGGGAAGAGACAGAGGAAAGCAGAGCAGCTTTCACCATTTAGGGTGGTAGGTGAGGTAAGGATGGTTCTGAGGCTGCTTACCTAACGAGGACACTCAGAGCACCCAGCGGAGTTACCAGCGTTGCAGGGGCAAAGGCATAGGCAGCAAAATTTGCTGCTTCTCCAATTCCCACTGCAAGAGAAACTCTGTCAGGTGAACATCAGAGTAAAGAGCAGTTCAGTGTAATACAAATGGATGTGCAGGCAGAAGATTTCCCATGTGCAACCAGGAGAGGACAGTGCCAGCCAGAACAAGCCGAAGCTTTTCCCTCTAGGACAAAGGAGGCTCCTGGTGACGTGTGGTTATCCCCAGCCACACGTGGCCATCCAGCTAAGCAATAACAAGAGAAACACCTTTACATGTCCTCAAAGCTCAAAAGGAGCTTTGGCTCATTACTTTTTCTAAGTTAATCTCTGCTGGAAAGGTTCTTAGGGCTTTTTGCAGGGTAAATCAAGTGTCACGTTTGACAAGCATGCAGCCGAGCTGCTGGATCAGTGTTAGCTGCCGTGCTGATGAGCATCACCTGACTGCAGGGTTTGGGCAGGGTCAGGAGCACTGACTCAACCCAGTCAGACCAGTTCCTCAGTTCCTATTTAGCAGGGCTTCAAAATAATTTAGAGTTATAATTAGATCAACATCCCCACACGTTCAGGAGATAAAAATCAAACAGTTCAGCAATCCTAGGATGGCTGGGTTGAAAGGGACCTCAAAGGTCAGCCAGTTCCCATCCCCTGCTGCAGGCAGGGCTGCCCAGCACTCAGCCAGCCGGGCACCAGAGGGATGCGCAGCCCGGCTCCGGGCAGCACGGTGCACGAAGGCTGCAGGGAAATCCCCTCGGAGCACAGGCCGAGCACTCCCAGCTCCCAGCCCTTCCCCGCAGCAGAGCTGCTCCAACCCTCGAACATCCTCGTGGGTTCCTCCTGACCCCTCCTGCGTTCTGGATGCAACGCGGGACCTCAGGAGGGCAGAGCAGAGGCACAGCCCCCCTCCCGGCGTCCCTCCTCCCCCCGTCGGCGCTGGGTTCAATCCTGCTGCTCAGCCTTTCCCGAGCTCTCGGTACTCACTGCACAGCAGCCCTGCCCACCACAGCCACTCCCGCAGGTACGCGTGCCCTCCGTGCCCTGCGGGGAGAAACGGACGCGGCAATGAAGGCGCCGCTCAGCCGCAGGCGGACCCCCGCTCGGGGTCGGCTCGGGCCGTACCTGCCCTGGGACGACCGCGGGCGCACAGGCGGAGCAGCCCCTTCTTCTTCAGGATAAAGCTGCCCCCGATGAAGACGCTGGAAGCCAAAGCCAACCCGAGCCCCACGTAAAAGCCGTGCCGCCCTCCCGCCGGCCCCATGGCGCCTCCGGTCCGCCGCGATGGCTTTCCCCCAGCACGGAACGGGCGGTGCGGGGCTGCGAGCAGCCCGGACGGCACACGGCGCTCCGCCCCGGCATCGGCCCGCCCGGCGTTGCGCGGAGCGGCGGCCGGAGCTGAGCGTTGCGTCGGGAGCCAGGCCGGGCCCGGCGCTTTTATGGATCCGCTTCCAGCCGTGGAGTTCTCGGCTCGATCTTGTTGTTTCCTTTAAGGCGAGAGGCAAAAAGGATGAGTAAGAGCAAGGACGACGCTCCGCATGAGCTGGAGAGCCAATTCGTGCTGCGGCTGCCGCCGGTGAGCGCCGCTGTCCGCTCCGTCCCAACAGCCCTACTGCTGCAGAGCGGAGCGCGGGGCTCCGTGGGGCTGAACGGGGTGAAAGAGGGGATAACGGGGCTGGAGGAGAGCCCTGCGAGGCAGCAGTGTGTGCCTGCCGATTGCGTGCTGGGCTGCGTCCTAAAGAGGGCTGGCAGACGAAGGGGAGGGTTGTTACCCTCTGCTCTGCCCTTGTAAAGCGCTGTATGGAGTGCTGTGAGCGGACCCGGGGCTCCCAGAGCAGGAAGGGTCCGGAGATGGGAGCGAGGTGCTCACAGGTTGGAGCAGCTCTGCTGTAGGACAGGCTGAGAGCTGGGGGTGCTCGGCCTGGGGAGGAAGGAGCTCTGGGGAGACCTCCCTGCAGTTGGGGGAGCTCACAAACAGGAAGAGAATTGACTCCGCATAGTGATAGGACAAAGGGGAATGGTTTAAAACTAAAAGAGGGGAGATTTTGGTTGGATGTCTGGAGGAAATCCTTTGCTCAGAGGGTGGTGAGGCCCTGCATTGCTGCATGGAGCTGTGGGTGCCCCCATTCCTAGAGGTGCCCTGGGTGCCTTGAGCTGCTGGGGGGCAGCCAGCCCATGGCAGTGGGTTGCAACTGGGTGGGCTTTGAGGTCCCTTCCAATGCAAGCCATCCTATGATTACCAAATGATAAGTCGTTAGTGGTTATTGCTGTCAGCACGCTTAACGCTATTTTGCATGTGCTTAATGTGAGGCTGTGGATGATGAGACCACATGAGGATGCTAAGAGCAGCTGTACCCCCAGCTGCTGTGCAGGATTTCACTGTCAGGGCCTCGCAGTGCTGTTCCAGCTTCATTTTTCTTGAGGGGAAGAGGCACACAAGGAGTAGTGCGCCTGTGAGATTAATGCATGATTCTTGGAGGAGGGTACAGCTTTCCCTGCAGATTGTAGGCTGGCTTTTAGAATTGTTTTTCTGCCTTGGGTTGACAGTGTTGTTTAAAACTGGGTATCATAGACTCACAGAATAGCCTGGGTTGGAAAGGACCACAATGGTCATCTGGTTCCAACCCCCTGCTGTGTGCAGGTCACCAACCAGCAGCCCAGGCTGCCCAGAGCCACATCCAGCCTGGCCTTGAATGCCTGCAGGGATGGGGCATCCACAGCCTCCTTGGGCAACCTGTGCCAGTGCCTCACCACCCTGTGTGGAAAAACTTCCTCCTAATGTCTAACCTAGACTGGACACAATCCTTCAGTGGCTTTAAGGGCAGCAACCCCCCAAGTCCCAGCATAACCCTGCCCAATCATTTCAGGAATATGCCTCCACTGTGAGGAGAGCAGTTCAGTCCGGGAGCGTCAACCTGAAAGACAGACTCACCATTGAGCTGCACGGTGAGTGAGAGGCAGCCTGTGCCAGTGCCTCACTGCTGCTTCTGGGACAATGTTTTTCCTCCTCTCCAACCTTCCCAACTAAGCTGTCCTGTGGCTTTCCACAGCTGATGGGCGCCATGGGATCGTTCGTGTGGATCGAGTGCCGCTGGCAGCCAAGCTGGTGGACCTGCCCTGCATCATTGAGAGCTTAAAAACCATCGATAAGAAAACCTTCTATAAGACAGCAGATATTTGCCAGGTATGGGTTGTTCTTGCCTGCCTCAGCAGCTCCTTGCTTGCTCCTCTCTCTGAGTAAACCTGTGTACACTCGGATAGGTTGATGCCCTGTATAACATGGCCAGTTTCTGTATTGTCATATTGGTAGTTCAGAAACAGCCTTGATGTTTGGATTTCGATTGTGCCTGTGAATCCCTCTGGCAGCCCCTGTTCATGTTCCAGCAAAGCTTCTACGTCCTTTTGTCCTTGCATTGCAATATGCAACCTTTGTGTTTATATGGGGGTTTCAGATGCTTGTTTGCACCGTGGATGGCGATCTCTACCCTCCTTTGGAAGAGCAGACTGTGAGTACTGACCCCAAGGCAAACAAAAAAAAGGACAAGGACCGAGAGAAGAAATTCATCTGGAACCATGGCAGTGAGTAGAGGCTCTGCCAGCGCTCTCCATCCCACAGCCCCAACATCCCCACAGCTCTGCTGGGTGCTGGCTGTGCTGCTGCTCTGCTTTTAGTGCTGTCTGGGTTCCTGAAGGGAACATCTCCCTCTTAGCAGATCAGGTTTGCCAGACCCAGCTCTCTCCTTAGGCCATCTGCCTGACACATGCAATCTGCTCTGTTGCAGTTACTCTTCCCCTGAAAAATGTACGGAAGAGACGATTTCGGAAGACAGCTAAGAAGAAGGTGAGTTGTTTCTCTCGTGCTGACTGGTGCAGGTGAAATAACCAAAGAATCAGAAGGCAGAGACACTGGAGCTGTAACTATCTGTCCGTCCTAAAGAGTGTCTTAGCATTGCTTCACATGTTTCCTTGCCAGAGATGAGGGAGAAAGCAGGCAAGTGTACTTAAAGCCTTCCTTGGATGTTTCTCCTGTGTTTCCAAAATGCCCCTGAAGTGGGAAAATACTCTGTGCTGAGAACTGCTGGACTCTGTTCTTGTGGCTGCTTTGTCACAGTGCATCTCTTCCTGCTCTCAGAGAAGAAAGGGTTGCATGGAAGTAAGACTTCACTCATTCCTGCTTTCCCAGCTGAAATCTCTCTATGCATGGCTCGTTTGCTTCCCCAGCAAGCAGGCACTACAAATAGAATAGCTGTTATTTCAGCTGGGGGAGTGACAACAGATGGAGCTCAGAGACTGTCTCAGTACAAACGCATAAGCCAGGAAAAGTGTTGGGGAGATGCAGCACCGTGAGGCTGGGAAGAGCTGCTCTCTCCTTTGCAGTTTCTGAGAACACAGCGGAGTGATATTTTGCATGACATTTGGGAAACAAATTATTTCAGGCAGTCGTATTGCCCTCGAGAGAGATTGGCTGTCACTACCTTAAGATACACGGCTGATTTAAAAGTGACAAATGAAACCTCCTTTTGAGAGAGATGGGAAGCTTGAGGTGACCATCCATCAGTGAATGGCACTTTGAGCACTTTCAGTATGCACATAGGAAGCCTTATTTCGGGAGTTCTGTTGATGGGTGCATCAGAGTAGTAGAAGAGTGAGAGCATACAACCCAGCAGGGAGATGTGCACTGAAAAATATGGATCACTGTTCTGGAGGTGCATAAATCACTTTTCGGGTGGAGCGTGAGCGAAGGTCAGGTGGAAGGAATAAGAGAAGAGAGGCTTGAGCTGTGTCCGGAGGTTGGGGATAGGAGCTGGGCAGCACACAGCTCCCTGCACCAGCTGTTTGATGGATTGCCTGTTCTTTCCCCTCTCTGATGCAGTACATTGAATCTCCTGATGTGGAGAAGGAGGTGAAGCGTCTCCTGAGCACCGATGCTGAAGCTGTCAGTGTCCGTATCCTTTCAGGAGGAAAAGAAGCTTGGGTGAGGGGGGGGGGTGAGGCTGTATGAATGATCTGGGGGTTGTGAAGAGAGCTGAGTTCAGCTTTGTCTGTGGGTGTCAGAGGTTAGGAGGTAAGATCAGTATGACACTGAAGTGAACTTTATTTTTGCCTTTTTCGAAGCTTATTGTATCTTCCTGGTGACCTTCCTTGCACTGAGCAGGAACTTAAGTAACAGTAGAGGGCAGGTCTTCAAAAAGGTGGGCTGGGGTGGCTCAGTGTTGGTATTCATAACTGCGAGGCCGTGCCTGTTGCAGTGGGCGATGAGCTGCAGTTTTTGGCTTTCTGCACCTTTCCCATTCATTTTTTCCTTGGCTCATCCACTCCAACTGTCAGGCTGGGAAGTCATTGCTGAAGATGAAACAAAAGAAGTGGACAACCATGGTTCGCTCACGAGCCTGGACATTTCTTCCCCAGGGATGTCAGGACATAAACAAGGCCACGGCTCCTCAGGTACAGTGGGGAGGGCCGCTGTGTCTTTATGAGGTAAAACCCAATGGGGGTGGAAGTGTCCAAAGGAGGGAGGGCAGTGCTGAGATGGACACCATATATTGACGGTGCCCATGACAGGCACAGGGTGCTGGGCTGTTTGTCAGCTCCGTTCTTCCTCTTCCATTCTTCACTCTTTAGAACACGACGAACTGCGGGAGATATTCAACGACATCAGCAGCAGCAGTGAAGATGAAGATGAGCGGGATCATCACGATGATGAAGACCTGAACATCATGGACACCGAGGAGGACTTGGAAAGGCAGCTGCAGGACAAACCAAATGAATCCGATGGGCAGCAGCAGGAGAATGAAGGGTCCAACCAGATAGGTGAGTTGGGTGGCAATGCTGCAGAATCATTGGGGTGCCGGGCAGCTCAGCCTGTGCTGCAGGTCTCTGCTCACTCTTTTCCAGTCATGGGCATCCAGAAACAGATTGACAACCTGAAGAGTAAACTCCAGGAGACCCAGGACAGGAGGAAGCGCCAGGAAGATCTCATCATGAAAGTAGAGAACCTAGCCCTCAAGGTGAGAGGTCTCCCGGGGTCTCTTCTAAGTCACGTGTTGAATAGACTGATTCGAGAGGTCAGCTTCACGTATATTGGTCCCCAGTGCCTGGATGACATAATATTCTTCTTCTCTGGGATTCTGAGCATCATTGGCCATCCATCCTTTGGCTGAGATGGTGCCAGGTTAAATAAAGTGGCATCTGGATCATATGGCATTGTAAACTCTTCAAAAGGGCTGACAACAGCAGGACTAGGGGAAATGGATCCAAGTTGAAGGAGGGAAGATTTAGGTTGGATGTT